ATGCACGACCCCCGTGTAAAAAAGAGTGGGGGGCGGAGTTATGTGCCTGAGTGCGATAACGCGCGCCTACGTATTGTGTACTGACATAGAGTCGCGGTGTCGTTGTACAAAGCACACGAGGAGGATAAGTAGGTAGAGGAGGATGTGCGCGCAGTCTCGCTTTCTTGTCATAAAGAGTGTACGTATGCGTCGCGTAAATTGAGCTCGAACTCTGGGTCTCCCTTTCTCATCTTCTTCCTCGTTTTCTGAAGAAGCGAGTTGGCATAATGCGAGTTTTGTTATCAAAAGAGTTCCAGCAGTGGCACCAGCACTTTTCTCTTCCACTTTCTTACAAGTGTCGTCTGCGCCATATATCCCCGTACTACCTGAGCTCGGCTACGTCTCGCTTGAAACTGTCGCGCGCGCCTATTTGCGTGCCAAGCGTCCATAGAGATAATGAACTTTGGATTCGCTTTACAGTCTGTGTTTTATGGGCTCTACTCGTTTTTCGACTCACGGCCTCCGGTAATCTTCATAGAGAAATTACGTCGTTCTCAACAAATATGCTCGAGTGTTCAATACTTTACGCTGCTGCTGTCACTCTCTGGGATGTAACACTTGGTATGAAAGTTACTCTTTTTATTTCAGGCTTACTGTGGTTTGAAAGAAATTATTGAGTACTATTGTCAATGTGAGTATGAAACGTCTCAATAACTGAAATTAATCTCTATCTTTTTGTTGGTTTAATAAATAATTCATAACGACGTTCTTAAAATAAGTAATGTTGGTAAAAAAAGGGATACAGTAGTTTTACTATACACGAATTTATCTATGATTCAAGGAAGATTATATTTTGAATGAATAAAAAAAAACATCAGCTGAATTCACGCCAAGTGTTGCTTTGGAATGAATAAATTATTTAACCGAGCTACAAATAGATATTTATGCTGCAAGAAGCATATCACCGCAAAATCTAGAACAATATCCCACCACTGGAATTCATCATTAACCAACCAGCAGATATAACATGGGTATAAAAAAAGAAGCATCACTTGACGGGAAGTAAAAAAAAGTGGAGAGCATGAGGAAGACAGCTGACCAACAGTGGCTCTTAACAAGTCCGATAAAAGTGTCCTCAAGAATATATATACACTACTATCGGTTTGGAGAGAAAAAGGAAGAGATAGGGAAGGCAGACATGATGAATCCTCGATGTCGTCCAGGCGTGTCGCGTTATTTGCGTGGAGACGAGCTACCTTCCTCCCCTACCATTTTGGCTCATAAATTAAGCGCGTTGATGTTGGGATGCACCGGGATGCACGCATGTACGCCACCATGTACCACGTTTAAACGAGCGTAGCAGTTCAGTCACGACGTTTCGCGTGAAAAAAGCGTATTAGCGCCAAACAGGGAGATTGATCGAGAGCGACAAGGACGCAATGCGCTGGAGGTTTCTATTACTCTGGTTGTTACTTTTTAGCAAGAGAAAGAGATCGATAAAGTCATGCTCAAGATAGGGCGAGTGGAATACGTTGGTGGCTATCCGCCGGAATTGGTCCATTATTCTCAGAACTTGCAGGTATTTTTAATTATGCGTATACTTGATAAGAATTTTAATAACGACTATTTTAAATGGTCATAAAATTTGTTCTTGCAAGATTTTTTTTATAATTACCTAAGAAAGTTAATGAAATCAAATTTGATACCACTATGATTTAGTATTTGTCGAAAAACGTGTGTCCGACCAAAGTGTGTTTTACTACTGAATTTTTAATTGACTAGTTTACTTGGGAATAAACAGTTTTTATCGATTTTAAATGTATGTCTGACTATATGCTTATTTTACTACTTATCTAGTGCATGTCTGATCAAATAATGTATTTGATCACTCAGCTTTTTGTTAAATCTTTTTGAGAATAATTATTATTAGTTACCGATTTGAAGACTTCACCGTATTTCACAACTTACTTTTTGTATATTTATTTTACTTGGAAATAATTACAATTTCTCACTAAGTCAATGCTTTTGTATGACCAAATGCTAATTTCAGTGTTGAACTTTCGCAGCTCTCTTTGTTTGAAATATTTATTATTTTCAAGTGGCTTACGTATACATCAGACGTAATAAATCATCATTTTTTTATTAATTTCAAGCTCATGTCTGACCAAACGCATGTTTGACTACTTGATTTTACGGTGGCTTATTTATTTTTTAATTGAGAAGAATATGTCGAGCATTCATAAAGATGTCTGAAAGTAAAAACAAGCCAACTCTACGAGCCTCACGTGCACAATGCAACAACGAGTTGGTGAAAGGAGAGCTTAATACACACATTTGCAGCCATTTTCTGCTGTGGAGAAGCATTGGACGAAAAGAGGTGAAAGAGGAGTCTGCGTGTGGCTGAGTGTGAAAGAAGTCCAGTGTTACAGGAGAGGGATAAAGACTGTGCAAAAAAAGAAGGAAGAATGAAAGGACTGAAATCACACGGACCCAAAAAAAGCCCTTTTCTCGTTTTTGAACCATAACACCGGAGTGCGAGAGGCTAAAAGAGCGCAGGTCTAAGCCCCTCCGGGCTGGCCTGTTCATCCTTCCATTCCACTCAGCCACGGTTGAAAGCGCGCTTGGAGGCAATACTTCCAGCGCGATTCTTGCTTTTTCTCTCCATTCTGTCCATCTTTCTTTTTATTTCATTCTCCCGTGCACACACGCTCGCTTTTTATACGGACGTGGCCACGGCCGTCTCGATATTTTCTTGCCTGCTCATTTTCCTTTCTCGCTCGAGCTTTGTCTCTTTGACCTTTTTTTCTTCTTCGGCTTCTCTTGTGAGCTGCTCACGGGAGCTAAAAGTTAAGCGTGAAATTCCGTGCACAAATGAAATTCAAAATTAAAATAAAAGCTCGAGCTCTCGGAACTGTGTGCCGATATGGTAACGCGAATTTCTCGAGGCAGAAACTTGTGAGGCCTTTTACAGTTTCTCTCGACACTCGTTTCGTCGAGAATCAAAGAACAAAAATTACGTAACAGCCAGTAGCCTTTTTTTTTAGCGCAGTCGTGGTAAGATGATGTTACTGTTTTCTTTTGTCTCATATCCTGACTAGCTCGTACACCCTCTTTTTTCCACGCTGAATGTATCCATCTGTCCTTGTGCTTTTTTTCTCTCCTTATCCCCTTGCGTTTGCACCTACAAGAAGCCTCTCGTCCCTACACGCCCTCCCAAATCCTTCTCACCCTTTGGCTTTATCTTTTCCCAGCCTTAACTGGTGCCTACTCCGTCAAGTGTCTCGACCCACCCCTATAAAAATACTGAATAGTGTTTTTTTCCCTTGACATCCCACGCCGTACACGAGCCCATAACGACAATGCCTTTATCACTGTGCGTTTTTGGAATTTCTACCCTTGTTCGTTTTAAGGCTGCTGGCCCCTTGGGGATGCATCTTATAGCCACCTTCTCCATTGTTGGGAACCAAGGTATGAGGACGCCCACGTAAAGCTTCTAAGAGGACCGTTTAATTTTTTTTATCACATTGTCCAAAAAACTGCAGGATGCTTTCAGCGTGTATATACTTTTGTTTACAAAAACAATACCAAAATGGACGAGTATGATTGCAGCACATTTTGATTGGTAACTTTATATCAAAATGCTTTTGTGTCAGTCCGATAAAGAAGTTTATTATTTTCAAACAAATTTTTTTTCCCCTTTAAAAAAATTAATTCACTAATTACGAGGACTCAAATCGTAACTCCGTCGAGTGCCCATGAAAGTAATACGCAACACATCTCGATGGTAATATTGCAAATGCGACACACGTTTTAACGACATCATTCGGCGCGTTTGTCCCTCAACAGCTTCGAGTCGTGACGTGGAAAAAACTAAATGCTTTCGCAACAGCTGGAAGTACGCGAAAAAGCCATTAAATTTAATGCTTCCTCTTTATTTTATTTTGCTACAACAAACAAACACGTACACGCGTGCATAATTACACGTACGTAATTACTCCCAACGCAATATGACGTATCATTAACGCAAGCGCTTATTTTGGCAGCCCACTTTTTCTCGTACGCAGCGCGCGCAAACGTAATCACCTGCTGTTAGTTTTCAGTACCACAGCATCTCCGTAGATCATACGCGTGCGTAATTTTTAATGCGCCACTTGTACGGGCCGGCGATCAGTGTAATTGCCGAGGAAAAACACAACACTAGAGGGAAAAAGAAAAATTTCCCACCATCCGTCGTCGGCCAAATGTGCTTGCGAGCTTGCACAAGTGCAATAAGAGGAAGACAGAGAGGGGCAAATGGTTTGTTATATAGAGCTCACGTGAAAGACACGCTTGTAAGTGTAGTGCGGACCTAATACAGATTTATGACCGCGCAGCCCCTTAATACAGGTATTATGCCGGAGGCGCTGTTGGAGAATTTGCGCGGAAATCGGGGGCAATTTGTAGCCGTAACCCCAACCAAGGCTCGCTTCTTCCTCAACTCGGCTTGTAGCGCGCGTCACCCACGGCGAGCAACGCCTCCGCCTTGGATTAACAAGGCTGCCTGTCTCTGCGAGCGTGATGAATTTTTATCGGGACACTTTATTAGCCTCGTGTACAAAAGTGAGTTGAGTAACAGCTAAATTAAATTTCTGTATCCGCGGGACGCTTGTCGCGATGATTAATCTCACAAAGCCAATGGGGAGGAAAAATCGTTCCCAAACGAAATCCCAAGCCCCTGGAGAAAAGTGTATCCCAACGCGCTTTAACTACCCATCAACACGATCGCGCATTACAATTCACACATGCCCCCTACCCCCCACAGCCATCACTTCTCGTGTGGCCGTATATTTAGCTGAAAACTTATCACGACCAGCAACACCACTCTCCTCCACCTAATACATATTCAGCGGGGCATTAAGGACGTCGGGCGAGCTTCTCCCTACCTCGAGGGACTTTCCTATAATGCTGGGAATTCGTCCTCGTTGCTGGGCAAAAGGGAGATTTTCTCTTCCTGGGTAGGGGTATGAGTAGGTTTGACGTACCTGGCGTGCTTTGGCCCGAGGGTTGGATCGTACATCGAGCTCGCCGAGATGTCCTCGTCCGGTATTTTGCCGCTCTCCATACCCAGTGCCTCCTTGCATTGTCCTGAAACAGTCGACACGGCTTATATTGTATCGTATTATATTGTTTGAATGTATGGTAGGGTGTGAAATATTCATTAACATTGGGCCGCATGGGAGAAGTTTTCGTGGTCTGACGCTTCAGGGACTCGTTCTACTGTCTGACTAGGATGGATTGTGCCACAACGTAATGTTATTTTAAATATAGTGTTAAATCTTCAGTTGCTTTGGTAAACATTGAAAAAAAAGTCATCTCAAGAAAATACATTTTTCAAGTTGTGTTTTATACCACTCTGTGTAAATCCCACGCTATAAAAATGTCCCATAAAAACGTCCCCTGCAATTTCAAGTTGAAAATCAGGTATTTTTAATTTCAACGAAGGCACTAAAAACTACGCAAGCAGACCACGGAAGCTCTTTCGTCGTATCGTACACAGCTCGGAGCTATTCGCAAGCTCGAGAGAAATAAATTACAGCAACGCCGCTGCATCCGCACACACTCCCTCTTTCGCGCAACATCACAATACATCGCCCACAGGCTTGTAGAGAAAGTTTCAAATATCCATAGGACTCGGCGTCCTGGTGTCCGATTAGTCAGCTTTTCGAACGCTGATGCATTCCCCCTCGCTAAATGTATACACACGCGCGGCTGGTCGTATATTAAAATTTGCACAGTCCAGCAGGTTGGATGTAAAGCCCCCTGGTGTGGAATTAGCCGCTTTCGAGTTTTGAGTTGTGGCCACGGCCCTTTAAGTATAAACTCCTTTTCGAGCCCTACTGGAACACGAGCTGGGGAAAGTAGCGTGAGTATACATGTGTGTCGTTGACTTATTTGGGCGAGCGTTTGTTCCAAGTTAAATCGCCTGGATCGCTGTTCACCAACCGGAGAACACAGCTCGCGTTGTTGTTGTTGTGGTGGCTTTAAAGCCGGGATCCTCGTTTTCATGATCCCTTGCAGTAAGGCTTTGGGCACTGAAAAGTCTCGAGTTGTTTATTTGTTGTTATTTCGGATGAAAATTTGTTGGATTAATTATTCGAGTTGTTTGGCTTTCTTCGATCGATAGCTACCCAGATAGGGTTGATTACTGAAAAAAAAAAAAAAAACTCAAGAGGCCCTAACGAAGAACTTGTTTGCAGCTGAAGTTTTAAATTATACGATGATTAAATTTCTCGGGGGAAAATTATTCCGCCATCGTGGATAAGTTCATATCGCAGCGACTTAATTATTGCAAAGAACCCCTGTTAAGGCTCTCGCGGCTCTTGGGAGAGCTGCTGCTTGCCAACAATAATTGAATTTCTATTTTTAATAAAGTAAAAAATGTTTGTAGCCGACTCGTAGTGCTTATTACACAGGGGTTATTGAGAAAGTTGTTTATTTAAATTACTTTCGTACAAGTTTCTTCCTCATTTTCGAGAAATAAGGTGTTTAACTACTTTTATAAACAAATGAAGTTTTATTAGAGCAAAATAAATTTATACCCGAATATCTGACGCGAGAAGCGTACACCTAAGTATCCATCCCCTTTAAGGATTGTGGATCACCTTAAAGAGAGAAAAAAGAGAAAGGACGACAGACAAGGTGATCATCTTTGGTCTTTCAGGAGATAGCAAAGCACACCTTGTTTTGAGAAGCTAAGAGATGGTAATGTTACTTTTTGACATTGTGGTTAATATTTCACAAACAAATTCTGCGCATTTCGTTCGTCAAAAACTTGCTCATGTGGCATCAGCTTCTCTCATTTGCTTGTAGGTAGCCCTCCCACTCTAAAATTTTAATTTTTGCATTACATCTAGATCGTTTGCAAATTTTGTTTACTCATTTACTTGAAATTGTAAGTGACTAACGATTTTCATAAGCTTCAAAGGTAATTTGACTTTCTCGATCCATACTAATTTAGTAGATATTATGCATTCAAATGACATTTACATAACCTGTAAGAATATTAAAAATTTCTTGTAATGAAACAGAGAGTGGTGTTAGGTCGTAGAGATATTTTTTAATAAAAAACAGAGAGGGAAAGAAAAAATAAAGGATGCACATCGTAATGTCATTGGAATTTTTGTCTTCGAAAGGAAATGCTCGCTTGCGTTTGGATACACGTCAGAGGACGTAAAACACGAAAGGAGGGAAAGACAGTGTAAACACATGTACGCGCCTCTGACAGGTCGATACCAGTGGCAGGTGGCTAGGGTGTTTGTAGACTGCTACTTTCACGTTTGCGGACTAAAGTCGATTTTAGATACTGCGAACACAAGACAAACGCCGAAACGTCAATGACTCACGTCGGTACTTTCTTGAGATTTTTTTGTACTTGGGGGTAAAAATATATAATTTTTTTCTGAAATATTTTTCGACATACGTAGCAAAGGGGCATTCATTATGTACGTAGACTTTGCTCTTTGTGCTTGTACTGTCCGATCCAATCTCCTAAGATATAATTTAAGATGGGAAATTGAAATTTATTGCTTTCGTGTTGCGAGGAAATCGGTCAAGTAGAAGTAACATGAAATACGTGGTCCTGGTATGAACAAAAACGCGTAGCTACGTGAAACATTGTTCGTAAAAATAACAAAATTAAAAACATTTGTAGAAAATGTCGTACCATTTCAAGTGACAAAAAGATTAATAGTCAAATTGTTTTGAGAAAAATGGTGTTACGGCGCGCCTCGTGAAATACGGTGTTATTACAGTGCAGAGGTGTCATGATAAATTTAAAGCAATTCGGTCGAGTGGTAGTTCAAGTATTTTATGGCCTCTGGACAGTGAAATCAAGTGGCACGCTGCGCGCTGCGAAATATTATACGATGCAAATAATGCAAGTAGTTCAAGCACCCTGTTGTCGGTCAAACGCGAGAATTCCGAATAAAATTTTCATTACCCGTAACTGTTACTGCACTCATTTCATGAGTACAACGCTGGCAGTATCATTCCGATTTAACTTGAAATTTTGAACTACTTAATTTTTTTCCCTCGATGAATTTTTGTAAATACGAAATTGTTGGAAACGAAATTGAAACGCGAATGTTGATGAAGCATTTCATATGTACAATAACATACCGTACATTACGAGCAACTATATTAAATTTTATACCCTAAAAAAAATAATTTCTACAGAGTTTCAAAGCTTATTTTTTCACCCTACTTCCGTAAACATTCGTAGACGGGAATAATTAAACGTGCATGAGCCCTTGAAACCCACCACAGTCACGCGCTCCCAGCGTGCAATCAAAGTTCGGTACGTGGGTGCCATCACGTATCAAGTCATTAGGGCACGTAGGTATTCTACTCACTGAGATCCAGGCCGTGACTGGCGGGCGGCATGGACAGTAGGGCAAAGAAGACGAGCAGCTCTCGAAGAAGGCGGAGAGTGATGGGACCGAAGGCTGGCATGTTAACGAGCATTACCGGGGGTGGACCGCCTCGTCGATCGCAACCTCATCTCACTTCGGTTTCCGGGACCCTCGTACCAGCTCATCCTCTATCTCCTCAGTGGTCGTCCTGCCGATGACACGTTTCTCGGTTTCGCGTGGAGTACCTCGCTGTCCCTGGCATTTTTTTCCACCTCTATTGGTATCTGCAATAAAAGCAATTTTAGCTGCTTTAAAATAATACATGACCACGCATTACATTATTTTCTACTTCATTATGCTATTAAAATAATCCGAAATTGATCGTAATTAAATCCCTTATCTGCTGGCTCGTTCGTATCATGAGATAGTTAAAACAACATTTGACGTACAAAACAATGGAAGCGATAACTCAACGCGGAGGTCCGTGGAAACTTATCAAAAGCCCGAAATTCAAGCTCTGCCGTTTCAGATGGCCAAAATATAAGTCAGCTGTATTGTTTGATTCAAAAACTTTGTCGCTAGATTGTAATTTATACGCAAAATAAGCGCACCAGCAGTTGCGTCAAAGTTAAACCCAACAAAGCCCGACAGCGTTTAATGTCGTTTGATTTTCCTACTTTGCATCGAAATGGCGGGTCGAGCTTTTTAACGAAGTAGCTGAAAAGCCCACGGTGAAAGAGAGGGGCTTACGAAAACTCGGACGATTATATATACGCAGTTGGCGTTTTTCTGCCAAGGAAGCCCAAACCCTGTAACATGCAGATTTCCCGTAATATTTCAGCCAGTGGTATTATACGTACAAACCGCAACCTGCTCGCGAGCACAAAAGTTGCGTTCGCGCAACTAATGGGTAAAAAAAAAAGATTCGCTTTCACGTGAGAGAAAGAGAGAAAGTTGAAAAAAGGGGTGAGCACGGAAACGTAAAAAAAAGCTTGCAACCACCTATGGTAGTGGAAGCTTCGTTAACGCTGAAAATTTTGATTGCTCCAAAGCCTCACTTGTTACCATGTCCAGCATGTTTCTTTGAAAAAAAAATCTCCCTCCCGGTAGCACCAATTTTTCGACTCTTGATCGGAAAAATCAATCGCACCAGCTGCACGCCACGTACGTGCTTTGCATCTTCGCTTCTGTGCCGTTTCTGCACCTACCGCTCCTATGCACCGTTTACACCCTTTGGTCTCTGGAGAGCGGAATGGGAAGACGTGGTTCTCTATCCACACCACGAGAACATTCAACTCGTGAAGCAGAAACGGCGTCAATGACGTTTTTGCTCTCGTGCGTCGCGCATTCCAATCAGTTAAATAAATGCCTTTATTACACGTACTTTTCGTAGTAATTTTTTAAAACATTCACATGCGTTGCATAATTAGCTGGATTTATCATTTATAGAGATGATCAAGTAAGTTTGTGTGATTTTGAAAAACGGAAATTACATGTAGTGATTCGTGTCGTTATCAGTATTCCTTATTTATAGGCGTGGCTGACATAACCCGTACTTGTACTACTGATTTTTCTAAATCTGATGTTTTTGTGGAACAATGTTACATGAGCTCTATAAGTTTACTTAGCATTGTTATATATAATATAAAATGTCATTGAAGTTTTGTCTGTTGTCCCACATGGATTACCATACGTATAATATCTTTACTCTCAAAACGATGTCTACAAGTTATGAGTCGAATTACAGAAAAAAAAAAAAAACAAAAAAAAATGAACAGGGCCAAAGGAGTAATTACTTATTCTCCAAATTTTTACGCTAAAATGCGTGCCAACCAAGGTGTTTTTGTATCGTGATCATCTAAGCATTATCAATAACTTGTGCTCGTTAAAACTAAAGCGAAATCTCAGCGCTAAGTTAGCCAGGTCGACCATTTTACAACTACTCACTCGGTTCCTCGAAAAACCGCAGCTAGCTGTACTCTATGCTTGGAAAATTTGTAAATCAAACTCCTCAACAATTCGTTATGTTGACTGCATTACACAAACATACTATAACCCACTCGACTATAAGCTCTAGCCCATTATAGAGTCCTAGAGTCCGCAATCACGCACTACCACGCAACAATAAAAAGCAATCGTCGTTCGGACGATAAACACGTTCGAGTATTTATAGCCGCTTCGATACACACACACACACACACACACATACGTACACCTCGTTGATGAAAGACTGGTATGTAATGAGCCCAGCGATGGTTTACGAGTGGGCGGTCGCTCGTGCAGCTGCAGAGCTTTACATTAGAGCAGTTTTTCTCGCCGTACCTCTCTACCTTTGTGGTAAAAAGGGGGGGGAAGGACGTGCGTCGGTGATTCTCATACCCTTTCTCCTCTCCCTCTTACCTTGTGTGGAGGCTGATGAAGTTTTATTATTAGGCGTGAGCCGTTACGTGCGATTGCCGTCGCGCATCAGTGGCGCAGAAAAGCTGGGGAGGTCGCCTCACCGCGTTATTTCATTTATTTTTCAGCAAACTCACTTTCGGTATTGTGCTGTTTTTTTTCTCGATCCTTTTATTTTTCCCCTTTCATTGCCGTTTACCATATTTCTGTTCAAAGCAATTTTCAAAGCCTCTCCCGAAGCATTATTACGTCATTCGTTCTTGAATAGAGTTGTTTTACTAGACATTGTTCTCGAAATATAATGATTCAGCGCTTTGTGACACATTCGATGACGCACGTACTTCCGAATCGACGGGAGAGACGAGTGTCAATGTAATTCGAGGTCCTTAGCTTGAATTACGAAAAGGGGGTCACGTGGATTTGTAATAAAAGGATCCCACACATACGCATCACGCACTTGACGGTCGTGTCTGACGTATCGCGTGCTTGTACTACTGCCTACTCAGAACATCGAGTTCTCGCAAGTCGACTCGTGCAAGAAAACCTAGCTTTCATTAGGTACATACACATACGTTGTGAGTTTTTTAAAATCAGAGAATACATAAGTACATGTATATATTTTGCTCTCCGTCGACATCACGAACTGGCTTTTGTAGCCCATTTCCATGACGCTACTGAGGCGTGAATTACGAAAATAGATCGGAGGAATTTTCTCCAGCAAAACTTGGCTACATAATGACAGGTTTATCATGCAAATCAGCATTCTTGTATGTATTAGGAATTTGCATTTTAATTTTACATAGTTTGAAAATGCTTACGTATTTCATTTTTATTAGTGCCATAAAATAACAAATGAATATCAACATAGCTGGGTATGTGTCAAGGAATATTGTGGAAGTTTTCTTTTGATTGATAGGTTCCACTCTCGCAATGTTCACTCGGAACCGTTGATCGATCGAGTTGTAGAAAATACTTCAAAATTTACTATCCATCCGAAAGTATCTCTTCTATCTTGTTTTTGATCTCATCGTTCATCTCAATTCAAAACTCGCTTCCGTGTAACAATTGTACAGAAAAAGTAATGCATTACAGGAACACAGTTCAAACTCTATACGTGTAATGAGTCCAAAAAAGGGAGGGATTCAGAAAAAACATGCCCACGCAAAACCAGGCCTCTCGTAAAGTTTGCTCACCAAACATCGTGGGAAATTCATTGCAACCGAAAATAGCCAAGGCAAGCGTTTCTCACGTCCTCCACTGCGGCGCGAGAAAGTCTCTCCAGCTCGTTATACCGTTCGGGGGACCACCAAATCCTTGCTTAACGAGACCTCTCCTTCGCTCCTACTGTACGTAAGACTTTAAAGTTTGCCGGAGCGCAGGTACACACACACACACACCACGCTCCCTCTTCTCCTCTACTCTGACTTGGACTATTCATCGCTCTTTCTCTCTCTCTGTAGTTTGTCTTGTCTGCGTGCCTCCGCCTCCTTCTTCCGCGGAAACGCGTCCTTTTTCCTTGATAAATCCCGCAACACTCGGTTGGATTAGGGACGCGAGCGCCGACTTTCTCGTCGTACTACTTCCGCATCTCATAATTGTTTGTCTTCCGTTGACGAGCTGGCAGAGGTCACGATTTTCGCGCCAATCAGTAATTAAGTCGCTCCTTCCTTTCTCCGGCTGCCTTTTTTCGCTACGTGCGCTAAAAACAAGTCACGCGCTGGAGTTTCTCGTGTATTCTTGGTAATCTTCTGTGGTGCAATCGCATTTCCAGTCTCAGAGGGCCGAGCTTGCGAGAGAGTGCTTCGTTTTGCCTCCACCCATTTTTCAAGAGCAAAGCTTAATCGCCTCATTTTTCTCGCCTCTAATTTCTACAGTGCTGTTTCCTTATGGGTTGAGAAATTAATCAGCTCGGGTTGTGGTCAGGGAAATGTTTCAAATTCAAAATGAAAAAGAGAAAAACCAAACATTCCGGAATACATTATACTCCAAGGAAAGCCCAAGCCGAACCCTCGTAACTTCCGTGCCGAATCATTCGCGTGAAATATAGCCCCAACTTGGGCGAAAAATCAAGGCAATAAACAAAACTAAAGCCCCACGCTGGAATATCCGAGCCCGAAGAGGGGGAAAAAAGTGCTTATTCCGCACTCCCAGCCGGGCGCTCTTAAAGCGGCTGAAAGAGAACTCCGTGCAGATTTTCCGGAATTTATTCCCAGTCTGAGACTCGCGCCACTCGAGGTATGAACGCCGAGCTAAATGTACACGCGAATCCAAACACACGTGTACAAGTACATCCAACTGAAAGTATGATTCGTCGGCTGCACCTACAAGTGATGGAGAGAGGGAGCATACACGACCCGATTCCTGTTTGTTAGACAATCGGCTCTTGGTACTTCTCCTCCGCAGAGAAACGCACCGCAGGAATATAAAACGAGCTACTGCTGCGTAATTCAAAGGCAGGTGTGCTCGACGTTACCGACGAGAGCCCTGTTCATAGGCCGCTTGGGAGAATAACGATCTCCTTCGGGCCCTTCGCGTGGCATTTATGCAAGCGAGGGCTTTCGGAGAAAAATTGCCGGGATGGAAGAAAGTTAGAGTATTGATCGAAGGGAGGAGGAAAATCGCGGGGAGTAAGGTTTCGCTCTGCTCTTCGTTTTCTTTTTGCTCGAGTGTTTGCTCAATAAGGCTGCTGTGAGCGCTGTGTGCAGGGAATACTCGAGTAAATTGCGCATTAAAATTTTAAAGAGCTGTATCTGTTTTAGCTGGCTCTCCGAGCGGAGGCTGCTTGTTTTCGGGCAAGGAGTTTGGCTTTTCTTTTTTTAGAGATTGTGCGTGCAAAAACGCACTTGTCATGACTGACGTGAACTGCTGTGGTCTTAAAGAAAGCAAACATTTGATGTAATGAAACGGT